AGTGGGGGTGGGGGTCCAACAGGCCCTGCGGCCTCTGGCAAGATGCTGACACCAGGCCCAGGTTTGGGAGCGTCACAGACATTGCTCGGGCCTGTGTCAGTGTGACCGGCTGGACTTAGGCTCCCGCGATGGGGACACCAGCACAGAGCTGAGCTGGCCCGGAGCACAGCAGGGCAGCTGGGGACTCGGAGGCCGCGGGTCGGGGACAGTGGACAGAAGCTACGAAGAGGAACTTGGTGAAGGGTCAAGAGTGGGGGACTCTTGACAAAACCAGACAGGACAGGCCAGGGCCACAGCCGGCAGAGCTGGTCAGGGAGGGGGGCCCTAGTCAGGAGGTGGGGCCCGGACCCGGGTTCCCCCGGTGCCTGCCTTACTGGGAAGAGGCCCCAGAATTGGGCCTGCTGAGCCCCAGAGCTGCAGCATGCTGGTCACTGCATCCTTCCACAGCCACGGGCACCTACGCAGGGTGGTCGTGTCCCTCCCGGGAGCCCCTGTGGATGGCAGGTGCCCAACACGCTGCCCAAGTGAGGGCCACCGGAGCCCACCGTCTTTGTGACGTTCTCTGGGAGCCTCTAAGCTCTCAGGCCAGCCCCACGGGCGCCCGGGCGCCCCCCCGCCCTGCCCTGGGCCTCCGCCATGCCTGGCTCCAGCGCGTGTGGTTTCCAATTGCTTCCTGTAAGCCTGCCTCCTGGACACGGCCAGAGTGTCCCAAAGCACCCATGGCAATTGGAACATGTCCTCTGTGGGGGACACACGTCCAACTCTCACAGCTTGTCAGCCAGCCGATAATCTCCCTCCCTCCCCGAGGTCCAGCCGAGCTTCCTGAGCTGGGCCTGCCTCCCAGCCCCCCGCAGGGCTCTGCGCCCGGAGGTGGGACCCTCATTTGGAGACCAGTCCTGGAGGGGACCCGGTGTCCCTCCATCTCCTTGGCTTCACCCCGTGAGAACGGCTCGGTCCCCCCGCCGAAGGTTTGGAGCCGGCTTCCCGCCCGGTCCCCGGGACAGAGAGGAACGTTTAAAATAAAAGCGGTTGTGTAATGCTTGTGGAAAGAATGATTTGGGTTTCGTGTAATCCCAGCAGAAACGCTGGCGTCATTTCAGACCCTGGCCGCGCTCGAGCTTCCTCCGGGAGGGGCCCCGGCTGGGCCGGGGAGCGAGAGGATTCCACGTGACCCCGAAGACGGGCGCCCCGCGAAGGCTCACCTCGCCCCCGGGGTTTTCCACCCCCGTGGGCTCCTGGGGAGGAGGCTCCTGGTCGCTCCTGGACGGCGGGGCAGCGAGAACGGGAGGCCCGGCTCCGGCTCACCCGCGTGGCTCTGGCGTGGGGAGCCCCTGCCTCCCCCCCTCGGCCACGCTGGTGACCACGTGCCGGCCCCGCCGGCCAGGACCCTCCGTGGAAGGGAGGAGGGGACCAAGGCTGCGGGCTCCTCCTCAGGTCCCCGGGCAGGAAGCCCAGCAGGGCACCCCGCGGTCATGGGGTCACGGAGTCAGGAGCAATAGTCACCCTGAGGCTCGAGCCCCCAGAGCTCATCGCGAGAAGAGACGCTGCGCAGGCACCTCTGGCCTGGAAAGTGGGTTCCAGAGAAGCAAAGCGAGGCCATTCCCCGTGTTCCTGCCGCAGGTCCGCCCGGCTCGGCCCCAACTGGTCCTGACCAGGAGCAGGTCCCTCCAGGTGCTCCCGCAGCCCAGCCGCCCCTTTACCCTCAACGCGGGTCTTCCTTTCCCGAGCACCTCCTGCCCCGCCCACATCGTGGGCACTTCTGGCATCGGCACCCCCACCCCCCGTGCCCACTGCTCCCAGCTCCTCCACACCTGGGGCAGAGTCTGGGCGGGAACATGCCAGGTCTGAAGGCTGACTCCCCACCCCTCGCCCATGGGGCCTCCCTCAGGCCCAGGTGGGAGAGGACACGCATCCATGTGCCTGGTGTGCCCCACATGCAGCCCCACGAAGCAGGGCCCACGGCCCCCGGCTGGCTCTACAGGGCGGGTCAGGCTGAGGATTCCACGTGGTCACCGTCACTGAACTGCATGGTAGTCACTGTCACAAGCACCTTCCTGGCAAATCTCGGGCACTTGTCTGCACAGCAAGGAGTGGCCGTCACAGGGCCCGGGTGGAACCTGGGCCGACTTGGACAGAGCTGGTTGATGCTGAGGGACCTCACTCAGGGTGTGTGCATGTTGGGTGGGGGGGGCATGCATTCGTGTGCATGTGTGTCTGTGTGCGCCTGTGTGCACGCACATGTGTGTACCAGCATGTGTACACACATACGGACTCATCCCTGTGTGCCTTGCCTCCGCACACGTGTGCACGTGTGTGTACATGCAGGTGTGTGCACATGTGCATGTGTGTGTGCCCTGAGCAGAGCGTGGCCAGAGGAGTGGGCATGTCCCTGCACAGAGGCCTAAGGGCAGCCACCTCTGTCATGGTGGCTGGACCTGGGGCCAGAGCTCTCAGTCAGGGACATGCTCTGGACACACAGGACCGCTGGCCACCAGTGTCCTGCTTGCACTCTCCCAGATCCATGGTCACCTCTGACGGCCTCCAGCCCGGGAGCCATACCTCCTGCAAGGGAAGCTAAGGGCTGGCGGGGGGGCATTGCGGCTGAAGGGTGAGCATCTGCCCTTTACTCAGCCGCTGGCCTGGGCTTTCCTGTGGCCCGGGCACCCCTCTTCCTGCTAAAGAGGACAGAGGTTGCCTGGGTACTTGCCCCCACTCTGCGCACAGGGAGTGAGGCCCGCAGGCTGCTCTGAGCACCGAGGTGGCACTAAGCACAGCCGTGAAGACATCGGGGGAAGCCGCTGGCTGGTCATTCCACTCCCTGTGGCCGGGCTTGGAGCGGAGATGCCAGGATAGGAGGTACAGGGTGCTGTCCCCCGTCTCCTGCACGGGCTCCCAGGGGCTCTCTGGTGAGCTC